GAGATGAAAGGGAATTAGTATTTGGAAGAGTTGGGATGAAAGGGAATTAGTATTTGGAAGGAGATGAAAGGGAATTAGTATTTGGAAGAATTGAGATGAATGGGAATTAGTATTTGGAAGAGTTGGGATGAAAGGGTTGGAAGAGATGGAAACCACACGAGAACTTTTGGAAAACAAGATGGAGGGGTCCCTACTATTAGGGGGTGGTAGGGCCTGTGTCAGGGGTACCCTTTGTGAGCTTGAAAACCTTAAGGTTTTGATAGAGTTTTAATCAGGGAAAATGAAAGAATTTTGCTAGAGAGTTTTTGGGGTTTGGGGGATGGTTGGCTGCGCAGATTGGAAGGATGAGAAGAGCAAGCAGAATGATCAGAAATGATTGATGAATGAGAGGGTCAGCATGGGAAAAGGTTGGATAGATTATACCTTGAAAAACATTTGAATACTAAAAAAGGAAAACTAAATAAACATAAAACAAATTATCTTTTTGTTTGGGGGAGCTGGGCTTGATTAATAGGGGGGTGGAAGTCATTATTAGAGGCAGGTTTGCAGAGTTCAAATTTGTTTAGTATTGGAGGCTTCAGCTGGGCTTGATTAATAGGGGGGGGTTGGTTAATCCCATGTGCGCATTAAAGACGTGGGGCGAAGGTCAGAGTGAATTTGATGGGTGTTTCTTTCTTTCTGCACATGGTCACAGCAAAGTCGGTCAGATTGCATCCATGTGGTATATAAGATGTTAGTGAAATGAAGGTTATTTGAACGCTTCCTGCAACAGATCAAATTGTTTGGCACATGCTGTTGTCAAAGAAGCAGTTGTTTTCCAGGTCTCTCAGTTTTGTCACATGATGATGTAGTTGTTGCCTGCATTGGATAACAGATACTGTAACACCACGCCGTGCGAAGCAAATCTTCCTTTGCACACAGCAAATAACAACATATAACATATACCTATGTGTTGTTACAATATGCAGTCCAGCACAAACAACATCATTATAACACACATATCCTTGGACAACGGATACCTGTAGCAAAAAAACTACCAACACATCCAGTCCAGTCCGCGCTTGCTCACTCGTGCTCACTCGTGCTCGACTGTCTCCCTAGCAGACTGCGTTGCCAGGCACTGCGGGAGGCAGAAGAGAAGGCCAAGGCACAGCGAGCGGCGGAGGAGCTGAACACGCGTAGCGTGTTTGGAGTGCGAAGAAATCGAGCAAGGAAGGATGGGACAGGGGTGGGTTGGGCAGGGGTGGGTTGGGCTTCCAAATCGTTTCAAATTCAATCATTCAGGGTGTTCATCCAGGTGTTTGATCTGGAAAATTCGGGTATGGTGAAGAAATGCATTACAAGCGTCCTTTTTTGGGGGGTATCGATGTCCAAACCCTGCATCTCGGGGTTCGGATGTTTCCTGCGGCACAAGGCAGGCGTATTACTATATAATATGAATGGAGTGGTTTATGTCATGTCTTGGGGTGTCCAAGAAACCTGTAAGAAGTGGGTAAGCACCTGTAAGAAGTGGGTAAACAAGAACATCACGACATAATATCACTATTTTAGAGAAAGGCCTTGACCCTCCATGTTCAAAGGGTATACAAAAAGGTCGTACCCAAAAGGTATGTCATGTCTACCATGAGTTGCCAAGTAAGACTAACACCATTCAGTTCAGCAACGTGACACCCGGCTCGGCCGTTTTCTGGACCGAATCGGTATGCTGGGCGATCTCTTCGTGTCAGGAGGAACGCTCCAAGAAGAAGGACCTGGAGTTGAAGTCCTTGAGCCGCTCGGATCCGGCTCGGCGGCACCTCGCTTCGTCCTTCGAAGGCACGGTCGGGGTGGGTGTGGTCGGGATGGTGCGGGACGGGGACCTCGGGCAGTCGATTGAGCCCGGTCTGCTGGTGACTGGGGGCTGGAAATCCCAGCGAAACATGGCAAGCATGAAATGGTAGGGCATTAAACAGGTATAGATGATGGCCGCATGCTTGGCACGGGACACTCAGACTCCAATACAAAGAATAATCTATAGATTCTATGTGTGCATCTTTGGGAATGAAGCATGCTGAGGAACATTGTGACAAGGACTCCAGACCAAAACCTCCGGATGTTGTTCTATTGACCCGCAGAAACGCAATTTGTATTTTTACAGATAGCAGATTGCTGCGTAGCTCCCGCTGAACCTGCCAGCAGCAGCAGTTCAGAAGTACCACTTGAAGATCTGTGAGAAAGGTATTTGTGATATGAAATGATAATGATGGTACCTTTGGATTTCTTGATTGTGCATTACCAAGGTTTGTTCGATCTGTTTATTTCGGCAGCCCTGAGAATGCAGTGGGATGGTTGTTTGGGGTCTCTCTAGCACTGCGTTACTGCGTTGTGCGTGTGCACGTGTGCTGAAACTGCTCAGACATGCTCAGACTGGGACGAATTCGGAATGGGTCATACTCCAGAATGGACTGCCCATCAACAGTATCTAGTTTTCACCAGACCAGTACCTGTTTTCCCTCTTAGGGGGATCGTTTCCCGCAGGATGGGGCGCTCGTCGATGGATGGCAGCAAAGCATGAGGCTAGAATCTGAGGGTAGCATGGTCTTGTTTTTCGGTTTGATGGTGCAAGCAATTGACTCAAGATGCTTGCCATGCTTTCCAAACATGTGTGTGTGTCTATATATATATATGTGTGCATGTGTTTGTGTAGGATTACATGTCTTTTCCACTGGGTCGCTTCGAAGCATTCCGCTGAGTGCTGAGCGATCTGATCGCCACCCCCAGTGGCCCTTCGGCTGGAACAAGAGAAGTTTAAACTGGACAGGTGAAAGAATCATCATGTTTCTGGGTAACCTACAGCGAGAGCACCATATGGGTTTAACATGGTTGAACTCCCTGTGGAATTCTTCATTGGATGTGGATGATCCCCCAAACACCTTGACGACCCCCTGCCTCGAACCGCAACAAGCCGCTTCGGAGAACGCCTTCTCAGCCGCCGAGGAGAGGACCTCGAACAGCTGCGCAATCAGCTGAAGGACCGCGACAAGCCGCTTGGACGGACCGTGGGGAGGACCACGGCACCGGGCCGCGGCTGGGCGTGGGTGACTCCAGACGGGCACCGGGTCGCATGTTCTTCGCTGCCCAGCAGCTGAGGCAGCTGAGGGCCGTGACGGAGCAGGTGGCCACCATCAACAACAGCTGGGCACAACACGTTGAAGCGTTGCATGAGAAGTATCAGGCCGCAGTGCATCCGCCGACTAATAGAGTCGGAGTCGGGTGGATTGTTGTTGGAACTGCGGGCGGTGAAACACTTTGGAAGCTGCTTCATAGCTGGTTTAATGTTTTTTTACATGTGGTTGCCAAGTTCAAGAAGATGTTTTTTGGCGTTGTTTTGTTGAAGAACAGTTTGTCCACTTCCAATCTGTTTGATCCGCTATTGTCTTCGAAATCGGCTCAGAGGCTCTTGAGGTGTGTAGGAGAGATTTCTGCCGGTTCCTGTGAGGCCACGTGATCTGAGCTCGCTGGACGTGTTGCACCGAAGTATGGCTCGCTGGAATTCGCTGGACGTGTCCATGGTGATGGAAGGAGGGAACCGTGATCTTTGCCATGAGCAGTGGTTTTTAGATAGTTTGCTGTTTATATGTTTGTATATATTAACTATATATAACAATATATGAGTGTTTAATGTTTGTTTTTCTTTTGATGTTCATTGTCTTCCCGGGGTCCATTCTCAGGTTCTTTCGTTTGAGGTGCTTTTGACATGCAAGTTCTTGTTCAGATTGTTCCCTGTAGCGTCCTTGCTCCTAGTAGCGATGCCCTTTGCTCCTAGTAGCATCCTTGCTCCTAGTAGCGATGCCAGGAGCCCCTAGTAGCGTCCTTGCTAGTATGAAATTTCCCTGCATGGGGACACCAATGTCAAATCGCATGAAATGGTCAACTGGTTCAACTGTTTATGTGCCGTCTCCAACTGTTTCGGGGTATCTAACTGTTTATGTGTCTCCAACTGTTTCTGTTCAAGAAGATGTAGGGCTTGGTGCTAGTAGGTTGGAGGCCGTCACTAGTAGGTTGGATGCCATCGCTGTAGGTTCAAGAAGATGTAGGGCCTATCACGGCCTGTGTGCAGGTGTTTCAAGTCTCTCCTTATGAACAAGCCACTGATGTGTCCAGCTGATTAAAAGTATGTTGGATGATGTTGGTGTTGTTCCTCACCCGACAAGATTGCAGGGGTACTTTGTTTCATAGCTCGAATCAGCTAAAGCGCCCGATTTAGAGGAGATTACTCCAACCCTATCGTGACCTACAGGGTGCTGCAGGGCAGCCAGCGCCTGGCCAGTGGCAGGACGGCAGCACACCATCAGAGCACCAAAAAAGTAATGAACACAGACAACATGACAATGGTCTACGTGTTATCGTTTGGAGAGAGAAAACACATGCCGAACCTCTAGCGACAGGAGGGCAGTCACAAGATCTTTGGATCAGCTCCGCCGCCCAGCACCACCAGACTTCTCCATTGTGGATGGGTTTTCACTTGCCCAGCCATGCAGGAGAATTGTCCGACGTTTGATTGAAGCCGGGCACGACTCCCTTCTGTCAACTGCAGGAACCGGCTGGCGCCGGCGCCAACGAGAGCACCGTGCACTTCTGCCGCTGGAGGTGACAATCCCGGAGTGCGGTCTGGGCGTGGCTGGTCTTTATGGTACCATGGTAAGCATCGTAACACCCGTGCATCGTCTTATTCTCTTTGATATTGGCGTTCGACACTCTGTTCGTAGGCTTCGAAAATCGCTCGGTTCATGCGTTCGGTTCATGCGCTGTTCACTCGTTGACTCTGGACATGGCAAAGCATTTGTGTCTTTTTCTTTTGATTTTGATTGTATCATTTTGGTTGGTCGTGTTCTATAACCCAGGTAATGACAAACAAAAATTGATCACCTCCCAAACAATGACAAAACATGACAAAGCAATCCAAGTTTCAACTGGCAAAACAACGACACAAATTAACGTATTTTTCCACGCTTAAACAAACAAAACGGCTCTCCTAAGAGTTCCCTGGCACTTCACACATGGAATATATTCCTAAATTGACCCCCCCCCCAACCACCCTAGCTGATCGGCTATTGGCAATCCCAGATGGCGGTCGTGTTTGGGGTTCCGTTTCGCCAAGTGAAGAGTACGGATTGAGTATGGATGGACCATCCAAGGGTGGTGCCCTGTCTGGAAGCTTTTGAGTAGGGTGGGGTAGTCCAGCCAGGACACCCAGACAGGATGGTCCTGGGATGAGTATTGAGTATTTTGGGTGATGTTCTGAACGTGTGGCCTGCTCCAATGCCTAAGGCTGGAAGGAGACCCCCCCCAAGTTCCCAAAAAACCGACTCAGACGCGGGACGACCCAGCTCCAGCACTTGGGTCACAAGCGCCATACTGTATACTTCTTGCGCCAGTTGATTGTTGCCCCTAGGAAATTCACAGCTGTGTGAAACAGTTTGATTCATAGGACGTCACAATGGGCAACCAACGATTCGGCGATGCCATGCCGGCCGGTTTCCCCACGAAGAACGCTCCGATCGGACCCGGGCCGGTTTCGAAGAACGCTCCAAGGTAAGCGAGCGAAACGACACTCGAAGACCTGTCGATGCAGGGCAATGTTCTGAAGGATGTTTCATGAGTTTTAATGATTTTTACTGATATAATACACATATATATATATATATATGGAGGGCCATCGCTTCTAGATGTTTCTTTGATCACACATGACAAAACCATAGGAAACCTCAATATGAAAAGGTTGTGAGAGATCCATGTCTGGGGTGTTTGATGTATATCCTTTCCTTCGCAAATGGAAGGTCCAAGGGGCGCCAACGACTCACACGTTTTCCTCCGAACTCATCAGGTCGTCAGCGAAGGCGCAGGCGAAGCTGTCTCAGTGAGCAGCGCCCCGTCGCGAGGGAATCGCATCCAGTCGCACCGGCTGGGCGAGCTGGGCCTCTGGAAGAGGCCCCCTTCCGCACCCGGCGAAGGCCCGGTGCGACTGGAAGTCTAATCACACCAGTGTAGGAAGCCAGAAAACGAGGACCTCGAGGACCTAGCGTCCAAACTGAGTGGTTTTTTCATCAGACGTCCAGCCCTTTAGCGGAATTCCACCCTGCAGACCTGTGGATTTGAGTGGATGTCACTCCTGTCGCAGCTGGAAAAAGAGGTGATTTTTCTGTAGGGGATGGAATTTCCTCTGTAAAGTGACCACCCCTAAGGGGGTGAGGGGAATTCCTATCCGCATTGTTATCCTGTTCATCGGCTAAAGCATGCTTCAACTCCTGAGTGTCATTTTCACATCATGGACCGATCGTATGAGGAACCCCAGAGTCACAAAGTCCGTTTCCATATTCTTTCAAACCATGAATTGATTCTGATATTAGATGGTTTTTTGCTTTTGTCCTATTTACCTGCAACAGTTGGTAAACAAGATTCCCTCACTATTTTGGAGATGGAAGTCAGCCTGCAACCAGGCCTCATCATCATACACGGTCATACACCCAAAATTGATAAATGTTAGAATTCCTTGACGAGTAACTCTTCCACATGTGCTCATTTGTGCTCATCGGTCAGTCATGTGCTCACCAGCCACCCGTCACAATGTCTCAAGTGGCTCATTGAGACCTGAAAAAACAAGCTAAACACATCTTTCATTACTAGTAGTTTCTTGTTACTAGTAGTGATGGCCTCCAACCTACTTGTGGCCTCCACCTAATAGCATCCTTGCTAGTAAGGGAATGATTGTCCTTTTCCGTAAACAGCAACAAGAAGTTGTCCAAACAAATGTGAGGATGAACAGTTGGACTGCGCCAGAGTTCCTGTCCACGCGTGTCTGTTGGTCATCCAGTCGGTCGGAGTCTCTCGCCAGGAGCCGTGAGACCTTTGAAGCTGAGCGTCGCAGAAGGGGCGTCAGTGGCGGCCGGTGATGTGGCCTGTGAAAGAAACATGGTTAAACAACAAAAACATCAGAGGGGGTCATCAGGTCATCCCCCGGCATCTTTTAACCCTAAAGAAACTGATCACTTACTACCCTAGAGGCCCTAAACTCCAAATGCTACGCTCGTTTGAGGGTGCGAGGGGCCCTGTTGGAGGTCTGACCTGTTGGAGGATGTTGGTGGATGAATCTCTCTTAAAATAAAGTATATAACAACCAACAACTATATAACATCTATATAACATCTATGTATCGATCTCTCCAAGTGTTTGTATCGGCTGTCGGATGATTTCTTTGGCTTGTCGGCCTTCCGAAATCGAAGACCTCAGATCGACGGAGAAATGGGCCCAAAAACAACCAAGCTTTCTCCGGAGTTCAAGTGAATGCCCAAGCTTTTTTGGTGTAAAACATGGTGTTTCACCCAGCAAACCCAGCACGGCCCTCACAGGTGAAGGAAGGTCAACCGATCCACTGCCCGGTGATGCGGTGATATGCGGTGATTTGAGGTCCGGCGCCTTTTAGCTTTGGAGGGTCCAGTGGTGAACCTGAGAAGGTTCCACGTTTCTATCCCCTTTGGAACGTTCCACGTTTACACCGGCGAGTCAGACAGCGCTGGACAGCGGATGCAGCTTGAGAGTCGGATCGGGACCTCTCGCCGTGGCCAATGACGACGGATTCGGATTCGGAAAAGAGAAGACGCATTCGCTCGCTGCGACGGTGGGGGTAATCATTTTTGTATATTTTTGTGATATGATGATGATAGATGAGGACGAAAGTGACAAGTCGATCTGTCGAAATTGGATGATCGCTTGGCGCATTGATCTGTCAAGCTGTATAGCTCAAGTCAAGGCTGATCGTTTCCTGCCAGACGAACGGACAGAGGTCGAGTCCAACTTCAGTTCTTCCGGTATGCCGGTAACTATGCATGATTTTCGTTCTCGTGCCCTGCCTTCAATGCCGGAGTGAGCAGTAAATTCAGAAACCCTCCACTCTTGTTTGGGAAGAACGACACGTTGTTTGTCAAGGCATGCCGAGTCATTCTTCGAGACAGAGCGGCGAGACTCGAGACAGCCCGCCCACGCAGGAGATTCTGGAACTGCGCGCCAACTTGGATGGTTTGGAGCGTGAGCGGGACTACTACTTCAGGTTGGGGTGCGAGCTCCGCACTCTTCTCTCCAGACCACGTCGGTCTAGCACCCCACGCTGGCGCCGTCAAACGCCTCGCAGGAAGCTCCGTGAGGTGGAGATTTTGTGCCTCACCCTCAAGGCGCCGACCGAACAGACATGGAACCGGAGTCGCTCGGTCGGTAGAGAACACGGTGGGAATTGGTTGTTTTGGTAGATAGTCATTGGATGTTTCAACCGAGTTTCCTGCGATGGAGGGCTGCTTCGCGGCCCCAAAATGCCAGACACATATGTGTTTGTTTTTTGTATGTGTTCGTCATGTCTTCAGATGCCGTTAATACAAGACTCGCCGTTGAGGTCCTGAACAGCAAAAACCCGGTGACCAGCCTAGAGGCCTAGAGGTCCTAGAGGTCCAGAAACAGACCCATCCAGATATGAGGTTCAGAAAGATCAACTGGAGATTCTTTCAAAAACACACACTTTCCACAGCCGTGTTCCAGTTTAAGGGATCCAGTTGGGTGTTGTTCTGACTTTTGAACATGTTTGTTCAGCGCAATGTGTGAGACGTGAACATCTCTTGCACTGTTTCCGCCCCGACTGTCTCAGTCCAGCATGGATGCCGAGCTCAAGGCTGAGAAGGTGGTGGAGGATGTGCAAGGCCACAGTGTGGTGTTTTGTTTGGTGGGCATTTACATGAATGTACTATCATAGTGAATGAGTATTTGCATCTCATACGTGCACGTGTGTGTGTGTGTGTGTTGTACTTAACAGTGGTATTTCATAGTTTTCTGGTTCGGGTTTTGTTTGTGTAACTTCAATGGTTGTACTGTCCTGTAAGAGTTGTGTGTGATGTTTGTTCTTGTGTTTTGTGACACGCGACACGTCATTCTTCTCTGACGTCGACATGGCCCTCCTGATGATGTCAAGTCATGTCTGGAAAACAGAGGGCGAAAACGGACGAAGACACCGAAGCACCGGTGCTCCTGCGCTCCCAGCACCACGCCACGATCGCACGCCAACGCCACCAACGCCGATCGCACGGAATTCCGTGTGGGAAGCCGTGACAGCGATGACTCGGTCCGTGTGTGTCCCTGTGGGTCAGCGATTTGTATGCCACCTCGGCCGATCCCAGTACCCACCTTGGGTATGGGTGGGTCTTCAAACCGCACGGTTGGTACTGGAATTTCGATGCTGCTTGGAATTGGGAGCGTCCTTCAGCCCAGACTGTAGACTCTAGAACTTGCAAAGGTTCTGTGTGTTGTTTGTGTCATTTTGGTTGGTCATGTTCCATAGGTGGCTGATGCCGGTTAGTAATTTCTTGACAGGACAAGTATGGTATGACAAGAAAAACACAACAGTCTGTGACCGGCTCCTAAAGACCGATAAGACAATGCTGATTTCAAAATGAAACGACGACAAGAACATACAAGAATCAAGAACCCTCATTTGACAACCACAACCTGCGTGTCGAGAAACACATAAAGATGGGAACATAGCCAGATGGAAGGCCCGTCACTGCCACTGATTCGTTGGCATCAATACAGTTCAGAATTGGTGCAGCCTCGAACTAAATATATAAATGCCTATAAATGCCTTGTAGAACGAGTCTTTGGTTCCTGAAAGTGTTAAGGCGTTCAATTTGTTTTTCACCAACTGGTGACCACCAAGTGGTGCGCTGACACGCTCCAGGTATCCTCTATGCCGAGAACGAGGTGGGGCGGGCGGGCTGTGATGCCGAAGCCTGAAACACACCGGGCTGAGTGATGGTCGGTCCAGGTCTGGTCACCGAAAGCTCTTCTGAGCTATTGCGAAGTTTAAGGATGCGAAGCTAAGCACCCATCAAAGGATGGGGGTGAACGAACACTCCATGTGTGCTGACACCTATAATATCAAGAGCCTTGAGTGTCGCCATCGTGTGGACAGGTTGATGATGGACAGGTTGATGAGGGACAGATTGACGAGGCTCAGATGTGAAGGGCCGCAGTCACGTAGCAGCAGATCCCTTTTCAATTCAGCAGACCGCACACATCTTTGGTCATCACACCCCATGAACTGTGCTTTTCTTGAGCTACGCACCTTCCATTGATCTTCCCGTTGCTTGAAACACTCCTGGTCCTCCAAATGGTCGGCCCTGTTTGGTGCCTAATTCGCGCCGAAGTCACACGCTGGCGCGGCAAATGACGACAATTCGAAGGTGGTCCCGAGACCAACGCCGGGACCTCGCCGAAACCAATTCGCCACGAACGTTTTGCGGCGCGTTTTCTTGCACCGTAGGAAAAGGATGAAGCTGAGCTTGGCCATTTTTTTCACTGCCATGTGTTGTGTTGTGCGGAGTGGAAGAAGGACGTCCTTTGAACAGAATCTTGCTGATGACCTCTGACGCGCTTTGGGCTCGACAGAGTGCTTGGAAGGTCGGCAAAAGTTGGTGTTCTATTCTAAGGGTGGTGAAAAATACCACTTGGAAGTATGCTAAGCCTGCGTACCATCGAGCACACACTTCTTAAACTGGAGTTGCAACAGTTTGCTTCGCTGATCAATATGTATCAATATAGATACTAAGGGTGCAATTGCATTATGACTTTGATAGAGTGACCACAAGGTAGCAGTCCAACCAACAGTCATAGCAATTGCCTGGACATGTGGCTGCTTCTAACCTGAGAAGAAGTTGCTTGGAGTTGGTCATCCTCAGGTTCTGTTTGTTGCAGCAACCTGGTTTGGAAGGACATGTTCCTCCACAAGTCCATGTTTTCAGGCGGCCCCAGAAAGCTCCTTTGGCGATTGACATTTGGTCTACCACGCATATCACAGTCTTGAAACGTGGTCTTCGAAGGGACCTGTTTTTTCCGTGACAAACATCGACCAATGCCGGTGCTTGGAAGGGAGCTACGCCTTTGTCGGAAAGGAGCCGATGTCCGGTTCTTTAATCGCCTTGAAACGAGCGCGTTGTTCGGGGTTTTCACCCCCCACACCGTCGAGAACGAGAACTGCCACCGGTGCCGGAACGTCGACGACGGACGACGGAGCGTCGAGGACGTGAGTGGAAGGGACCGGAGATAAAGATGTTGTGAAGCCCAGAAGCATAGATGAAAAGTTGGTGTTCAAATGTTTTCAATATGTCCAAATGTACTTTTCACATCTTTTCACGATGTCCGATGTCCATCGATGTTTCCATATAATATCTTTCTTTCATGCCGTAAGTTGTATCATATAGGGGTGAAAACATGGACCCGAAGAGAGACGGTGAAACCGCGATCCAGTTTCAAAGATGGTTTAAATCACATGGCCAAACAGATTGGGTTGGCAAAAGGGAGTTGAGGCAGCGCCCTGCCGGCCGAGGTTCTTTCAGACGAAAGAAGGCCGGGGATCGGATGGGATTCTGAGCCGCCCAAAGCCGGCTCTCATTGTACATGCGAACGATGGATTGTTTGGGATTGTGAGAAACGTGGTTCGTGATCGTTCGCTGAACTCTTGTGTTTAGTGAAAAAGACGAAGGAAAGTGTGGGCATCATGAAAAAGAAGGACAGTGAGAAGTTCTTCATGAAAGAAGGAGCTTCAAGTAACACTATAAGCTAGGCCGAAGAGTTTTCACTGCAGGCAACATGATAGGTGGTTGTGCTCTTGTTGTGTATCATCACAGTTTCTGACTGCTTAGGGACGATGTTGCTGGCCTTGGAGAGGGTCTCATGGGTTTCTGCGCTTTGCTGGTGATGCTTCATGGGCGCTGTCGACATGATGCTGAACATCGGTTGGTTTTTATTAAGACATCGTTGATGGGAGCAGCACAAAGCAGCGATGGCCAATGATGTTTACCGATCTTATTGACTTGTGGATGCGTTGTTACTTTTTTTCCTGGGCTTCAGCCGCGCAGAGGCACAGATGTCCATGTGCTTTTGGATGTGTTGTTCGTGTGGGTGGAGGAATATTGAGTCCTTAGTGCCCCAGGCAACAGACCGTTGTGGCCAAATTAGATTCTCCCCGTCCCTGATTCAAGCGTCACCATTCATCCTATAGCCCTAAGCTAAGCTCCATCCTGGCAGGTGGTGGGAAGCCCACGACGACCGACCAGAGAGGGTGCCGGTGGACCCTGGCGACGTGTTGCGACATGGACCCTGGCTTTTGTGTCTCTACAATCACAGAAACAAAGAGTGGTTCGAGTGATCGTTGTTAAACGTAAAGTGTGCAGCCATTGGCCCAAGATGCCGGCAACCTAATCCCCCACAGTGCGGACATGTTTTTAAGGAACCTCCCGACTCAGTCAAGGAACAGGCCGAGCAACTATAAGACGTCACCCTTGGTGAACACGACTGGTGGCCTGCAGTTTCTGGCAGAACACCAACCAGAAGCAACAAGCCTCGACCAGGTGTACGGCCTCGACCACGAGTCCGGGATCCTGGGGAGAGACCAGAGTCGGTCGGCCAATCCGTTCGGTTTGGGAACAGGAGGGGTGTCGATGGAGAGTCGGATGGAGAGGAAGAACAAGTGCGACGGTTCAAACGCGTCATCAACACTTCAATCAAGAACATACAAGAGCATACAAGAACAATTATTTGACAACCTTCAGAATCTAGTAGCAAGAAGCTACTTGGGGCTCATGGCATCGCTACTAGGAGCAAGGACGATATGGACGCTACTAGCTGCTCCTGGCCTTGCTACTAGGAACAAAGGTAGGTAGCGAGACTCATCAAGATGGGAAGATTGCCCGTATAGATGGAAGGCCTGTTCGTCTTGTCCACTCATTTTTGAAAAAGAAAAGCGCTGCGTCGAACATCGTCGAACTATAAACAGCTTTGTAGAACGAGAAAAGGTCGCAGACTTATTCTTCAGGTGTGTTACCATCCATCTCGGGGGGTGACTCCTTTTGTGCTGAAAGCCAAATCAGTGTCGCCAGCTGGTTGATGAGGGACAGATTGATGAAGCTGAGATGTGAAGGGTGGCAGTCACTTAGCTTCTCACTCCATCCGTAAGGCAGCATAGCCAACACATCTTTGGTGCTTGTGAATTTGTACCAAAGTCGCCCGCCGGCGTGGCCAATGACGAACAATTGGTCAGCCAGAAGCCGGCTCGGGACATCGCGGGGACCCATTGACCACTCGACATCGAACGACCGACGGCGGAAAAGGATGAAGCTGAGCCAAGTCTTATGTTGTTTCGGAGTGGAGGAAGACCGTCCCTTGAACCAAATCGTTGTGTCGATCTTGGGCCCAAGCCCAAACGCGCGCAAACGCGCGAGTAGGGCGGAGCAGGTCGGGTTGAAAAGCAGGTATACTGAGACTGGTAGTTATTCTAAAGAGTGATGAAAGACGTCCACGTTGGAAGTAGGTCAGGACATGTCAGGACGACGTACTGTGCGTTCGTTCATCGCCCACACGTTCGTTCTTCGCCCAACGGATTATTCATCGCCTGCGTCGCCGGCATCGCATGGCATACTCGGGGTGAAGTTCATTTGAAGAATCCGATGTGATTAGATGGAGTAAGCTAGAACACAAGATATAGCAGCCAAACCAACTGTCAATCGCCTGGACATGTGGCTACCTTGCGGCTTCCAACCTGAGAAGAAGTTCCTTGGAGTTGGTCATCCTCAGGTTCCGTTTGTTGCACTGACCTGGTTTGGAAGGGAACGTTCCCCACAAACCAAAGAGGCAGCGCCAGCCCCAGAAAGATCCTTTACTGCTTTTGACATCTTTTTGACCGCCTGAAAGGTGTCCTGCAGAACGGACCTATAGGGACTTTTGCTTCGTGACACATTGACCACTCACCTCGCAGATGGGAGCGACCGGAGTCCGCCTAAGCCTGCTCCAAACGGAGCGCTTTTGTTCGAAGCCCCAAACTCCTCACAGGAGCCTTCTTTGGGTGATGAAAACATGGAAGTGGATGGTGCCACCTGTTTGGTGGCACTTTTGGGGTCTGTTCTCGGAGCCCTGCCGATTTCGGGAGTTGAGCACGGTCAGCGAAGGAAAAGGATGGACAAAGTAGTCCTATGTTCCTTTCCTTCAGTCCTTCAGCAGCATCCAGTTGCCATTGTTTTGCAAGATCCATTTGTACCCTGTGCAAACCAGGATTTGTTCATCGGCAAAGTACGCAGCTCGGAACGGACCGGAAACATGTTTCTGGCTTTAATTGGGTGGTTTTGAGAGTCAAGTCGGAACCGAACATCACAAAGGAGGTGGGAAAATGGTGGTACACACAGCACACGTGGAGGGTCCTAATAGCCATGAGCCTCCAAGTGTCAAGAAAGACTCCCGCCGGCCGGGTGGTGGGCGCCTAGCGGCTGAGGTTCTCTCAGCCGCTGATGGACTCCAGACAGGAGGCTGGACCGGGCACCGCTCCGCTGATGGCGTGGGTGAGTTTGCTGATGCTGCTGCTCTGGCCAAACTGGGTCGGAGGTGGTTGACATCACCGACATCACGTTTGACAAGTCACCGCAAGGTGGAGAGATGGATGAGAGGTGGATCAGTTTTTTTCAGGTGAATGAGGTTAATCCTCTAAACTTGTATTGCGTTTCATTTCGCAGAGTCTGTTTCGTTTGAAGAAAGGTCAACGAGACATTCCTTCGAGAACACGGTGCCTGGTCCCCCGGTCCTCTCAGATCACCGCAGGGGCGATTTTCCCAACACGGGTATCAGTATCACTGCGAAGTGGATCACGTGAACCGCAGAGCTGTAGAAGTACAGAGGAAGAATTTCAAGAGCTCATATTCGCTGACTGGAATTGCCCCATCACACCAAGAAAAAAAAGCGAAAAAACGAGGCTCGGTTCTTCTAAGATCAAGAAGATTTGCCGTTCCTCCCACGCCTCCGTCCAGACGCATGTCTGGAAATTTTCGACCGTCGTTATTTGCCAAGATTTCAGGCAAATACATTTTGGATTCCTTGACCTTAAAAAGATGTATTTGAGAAATCCTAGCGCATTTAAAATCGTTTGATATATTTGAAAAGAGTGCGTCAGAGATGCTTCAATTTTTCATCTAACGTGGCAGATATTTCGAGGCACCTGCGTGCATCCGCGCCCTTGGTAGCTGCAAGCGTTGTAGGTCCAAAAGCAATTTAATACCTAAAATAAATACAAAGGCTCCTAGATAAGATATGAAATTTTAATTAAACATTTTGCCTTATAAATAGGTCGCTAGACAGCAGCCTCACAATGCACGTAGCATTACTAGACACCAATTTTATTCATCATCACACGTAAAATTGCTAAGTAGCAATCATACGTAAATTTCAATAAAATGTACCCCACGCCATACGTTTGGAACGATTTCCACCCGTTCTAAGCACACTCCTATCCACCCAAATCGCCATTTTAACTCAGATTTGTCACGAAAACCGAACTTCGATACTACCCCCTAAAACGCAAATCCCAATGGCACGACCTCATCCAACACCCCCCAAAAGCACGATTTTCCCCACGCTAATCCCAATGGATCTG